AAAAACAGCATGTTGTGCAGTAATGTTTTATTTGATAGCATTCTCGGTGTATCAAGTTTGCTGTAAGTGCACTTCAGCTGCAGTTTAACAGGCAAGAGCGTTTGTTTAAAGGACGTTCGATTCACACAAGCTTTTTTTGATCAATCCTCTATTGAGGAAACTCCCAGCACTATAATTAAGACCAGAAATGACAAACATTTGTCTGTGAAAGATTTTGTTTTGAATCATTCAACTCTGACTTTTGTTTCATTATTGCAGTTTTATAAATCAGTTGTTAAATATATCCATATTATTTATTTAATTATATGCATCAGTGTTATTTTAGTATTACATACACACACATATGTGTGTATATATATATATATATATATATATATATTTCATTTTAAGTTTTAAGTTTTAGTAAGTTTGTTTCTGACAATTTCATAGTTTTTAAAAAATATGTCTATATTGTTACGGAACTGCTCAGAGACTGAGTGAGGATCCAAATGCAGTGTTTATTAGGAAAGTCCAGAATCAAAATCAGACAGCAGGCCAGGGTCAACACACAGGCAATCAGTCCAAAAACCAAGATACACAAGCCTTGTCCAAATACCCACGCTTGCGGTCTTTGCACTTGACTACTTATATGACGTATTTCCTGTATTTGGGCCAAGTGTTCAAGTGAGGATGAAGACCACAAGTGTGTGTCAAACTTTTCATTACCTGATGGGACACACTTGTAGTGTTGGAAAAATGCAACTGTTTACATAGCTGTATTTGAATTTCAAATACTTAGCATTTTAAAATAAACTTCTAAATGTCTGTTCAGTAGTCCCTATAACATGACAATTTTAATTTGTGGTGCTTCTAATTAAGTGATAAAAAGCGGTTGCAAATGTTGTACAAAATAAATATCACCACTACTCATCTTTGCACCAATAAAACGTAAAAACAGTGTTTTCTACCAAATTATATGTAATATCTAATTATTATGTTAATATTTAACTTGCATCGGAAAGGTTTCCGTGACCTCTCGCGAGATCTCGACAAAAAGTCTCACGATTTATTTCTAGAACATGATGGGATACACTAAGCCTCGAATAGCGCTCCGGAGCGGTATTCGAGATAGTGTGGATTTAGTGTGCTTTAAGGGCACTGCGCTCTGGCGTTTTTAAGACTTGGGACAGTCGCGCGCACGCGCTCTCAAGAGGCCAAGACTGCAAGTGTGGGTATTTGGACAAGGGGATAGAAACGCTCAGCGATGCAGTGGAACACTTACAAGACTTCACAAAGAATGACCAACTAAACCAGGCTTATATGGGGTGAGCAGACGGGGTAAATGAGACACAGGTGCAAAGAGTGAGTGTTGATGAGTCCGGGCAAAGGATTATGGGAAATGAAGCTCACGGGCACTTTTGGGCCAAGTGTTCAAGTGAGGATGAAGACCACAAGTGTGTGTCAAACTTTTCATTACCTGATGGGACACACTTGTAGTGTTGGAAAAATGCAACTGTTTACATAGCTGTATTTGAATTTCAAATACTTAGCATTTTAAAATAAACTTCTAAATGTCTGTTCAGTAGTCCCTATAACATGACAATTTTAATTTGTGGTGCTTCTAATTAAGTGATAAAAAGCGGTTGCAAATGTTGTACAAAATAAATATCACCACTACTCATCTTTGCACCAATAAAACGTAAAAACAGTGTTTTCTACCAAATTATATGTAATATCTAATTATTATGTTAATATTTAACTTGCATCGGAAAGGTTTCCGTGACCTCTCGCGAGATCTCGACAAAAAGTCTCACGATTTATTTCTAGAACATGATGGGATACACTAAGCCTCGAATAGCGCTCCGGAGCGGTATTCGAGATAGTGTGGATTTAGTGTGCTTTAAGGGCACTGCGCTCTGGCGTTTTTAAGACTTGGGACAGTCGCGCGCACGCGCTCTCAAGAGGCCAAGACTGCAAGTGTGGGTATTTGGACAAGGGGATAGAAACGCTCAGCGATGCAGTGGAACACTTACAAGACTTCACAAAGAATGACCAACTAAACCAGGCTTATATGGGGTGAGCAGACGGGGTAAATGAGACACAGGTGCAAAGAGTGAGTGTTGATGAGTCCGGGCAAAGGATTATGGGAAATGAAGCTCACGGGCACTCCAGCTAGAGATCATGACATATATAGTTTTTTTTTTAAGTTTTAGCTATTTTAGTACTTCAATGAAAATGAAAATGAGAAATGTTAAATAAAATAAGCTTACTAAAATATTTTTTATATTTTATTTCAGTTAATGTTTATGAAGTAATGTTATTTTTTTTATTAGTGTTTAGTATTAATATTTAATATTAATAATAATATTTTTTTATATATTTAAGCAATGAAAATGTTTATAATGATTTCAGTTTTAATTTTAGTAAATGATAACATAGATCTGGGTAAAATCATTTTAATTAATGTTTACCTTTTAATAAAAATATTAAGAATTTATTAAGGATGTTGTTTAAAACATTAATTCAGCAAAATTAAAATAATATGCATTTTATTTTTTGTCGTACATCTGTATTTTTTTTCTACAAAAATAATCAAATGTTGGTGCTGTGAAGCGATTTAGTGACCTTGTGTTTGGCATGCTTTAATATATCGGGGAACTATCAGTTTTATAATTGAATTTATTGACTATCATTCTATGAACGAAGTTACCAAAACTATATCAAATACCCTAAAACACAACTCAGTCCTCAATCAAGTCTTTATCTATATTTCACCAATGCAATTTTAGGGGAACAGAAAATATGTTTTACTAATATGACTGCTGTACAAAATATCAGGAAAATATCTGATTCCAGCCAAGTCATGAGTGGAGACATTCATAAATCTCTGAATGACCCTCATTTATACATGCAGTCTGCTTACAACAGGTGGTCTCACTGGAGGGATACGTGGTCTGCTACCACCAAAGATCATCTCGTGTGGAGAAATCACGGGTAAACACATCATGATGACAGATAGATTTTGGTGTAATTAAAACATCTTAAGTGACGACGAGTTTGGCATCCCATGACAGCATGTCTGTTTTCATTCAGCTGTCACTTCATTATGAACATTGTGAAATAATCGTGTGGTTATGAAAGCCAGTACACAGCTGCAGTTATGTGAGAGAGGAAATGCCCACATTAGCATTTGTAATGGTTGAAGTAAGACTTGGGTAGAAGCTGCTCTCATGCAGTGTGAAAAGCAAATGAGACGCAGCGCAGGGCATCTCGCAAGCATCTGCATCCCAGTCCTAGAAACCCAGCCAAAAGTTGCAGATGCTTCATTATAATTCTAAATAATGTGTCTTTGTACCAGAGGAGCCATCCGGCTTGCTTTGACCGACTTGACAAACACTGTTATAAATCAGGCTGTGCAACTTTTATAGAATTAGATCAGACATTTTACAGATGTACCACTGATACAGTCCATGTACAGCCGTTTTCACATACATTTTATTAGTCTGTTACACAAGAGCTTTTCAACCTGGAGCCTCTTTAACAAATGCAGCTGTTCAGATGCCAGTTTTACCCAAGATGGTTTAAAGGAATAGTTCACAACAACAACAAAAAAGAACATTTAGTCAACCTCAGGATTTAGTCAACCATCCAAGATGTAGGCTAGATGAGTTTGTTTCTTCATCAGAACAGATTTGGAGAAATGTAGCATTACATCACCAATGGATCCTCTGCAGTGAATGGGTGCCGTCAGAATGAGAGTCCAAACAGCGGATAAAAACATCACAATAATCCACAAGTTATGCACATGACTTGTCCATACATTAATGTCTAATGAAGTAAAAGGATTAATGTATGTTCTAAACAAATCCATCATTAAAATATTACAAATGTTGCTTCCAAGTCCTCTATCTAATGCTTCCTCCAGTGAAGATGTCCATCCCCTGTTGACTTCTCACATCAAAGTCCACTGGATTTTGGACTGCTATCACTCATAAACAGTGCTTGTTCTGTGTATATTTCTCTCCTGATTCAGACAAGACAACTTATCTTTCTTTACTAACTGACAGATGTCAACTTAAATGTTTCAGGATACTAAAATAAATACATGCAATTACATTTTTTCAGCTTTATATTTATTAGCAGAATGTGACCTTGGACCACAAAACCAGTCAAAAGTTGCACAGATATATTTGTAGCAACAGCCAACAATACATTGTATGGGTCAAAATTATTGTTTTTTCTTTTATGCCAAAAATCAGTAGGATATTAAGTACAGATCATGTTCCATGAAGATATTTTGTAAATTTCCTACCGTGAACATATCAAAACTTAATTTTAGATTAGTAATATGCATTGCTAAGAACTTCATCTGGACAACTTTAAAGGTGATTTTCTAAATGGTCAGATTCCAGATTTTCAAATAGTTGTATCTCAGCCAAATATGGTCCTATCCTAACAAACCATGCATCAACGGAAAGCTTATTCATTCAGCTTTTCGTAAAATTGAGATGCATCAATCTCAATTTCAAAACATTGACCCTTATGACTGGTTTTGTGGTCCAGGGTCACAAATATTATGAGCAAATATAAAATATATAAAATAAAGATTTGTGCATGTATATAAATATTTCCTCACACAACATACTTTATGAATCGACAGGAAAAAAAGAAATAAAAGTGTGATAGACCACAGTGTGACACTCAAAAGAACGATTCATTCGCGAATTGGGGATCCCTAAAGAAGATACTGTTTTATGTTCTTTATATCCGATACTTGTATTAAGAGAGTGATTTATGCATCCCCAATTGTAGGCCTATTACCAATAATATATTGCATTAAAATGTGAATTGTAAAATTCAGTTTAAATATTTTTTACACGTGCACACACGTCTTTATATTTTCTAAAGATGCATTCAATTAGTAGGCACAAGGGGTTAATGAATTAATGTAGTCCCCCTGCATGAAGAAAAAATATATATATACATATTTGTCAAGCACATTGAGCAATCTTCGCGTTATGCCAAGCCGGTTGCATTACCATTGGTTGTTTCACCTTTCAAGCGCGTGCGCAACAGAACGGCAGCGCGCGACACTCATATCAAGACTGTGGAGAACGAGGAGCTCATAGAAACCTAGTTGGTGCCGTACTAATGCAAAAACATACTTTTGAAGTCTCAAAAGTGCTACGCAGTTGGATAGAACTGTTATTTTCCCCGCTCTTGTGCCATGAAGAACCTTCTCCCCAAGCTGTGGATGTTCATCGCTCCAGCTGTCTTCCTCCCTTCGCTCAACGCTACGGAGTATGAGTACTACACTTGGAAACCGGAGACGTGGGTGCCCATTTACGGCAAAAGCCCACAGTGCATGGAAATTCCCGAGGACCTGAGGTTGTGTTTTAACGTGGGCTACCAACAGATGCTGCTTCCCAATTTGCTGGAGCATGAAACCATAGCGGAGGTGAAGCAGCAAGCGGGCAGCTGGGTTCCTCTGGTGCACAAAGCCTGTCACCCCGGCACGCAAGTGTTCCTCTGCTCGCTCTTCGCCCCAGTGTGCCTCGAAAGACCCATATATCCGTGCCGCTGGCTGTGCGAGGCTGTCCGGGACAGTTGTACCCCTATTATGCAGGCGTTTGGGTTCCCTTGGCCTGAAATGCTCAACTGTGACAAGTTTCCCCTGGGCGACGTGTGCATTTCTATGAACACCACCAGCAGCGATGATACGGACAAATCCCCAGGTGTGCATTCTAGCTGTTTGACTGAATTTCACATTAGTTAATTTTTTTAATCTTCCTTTTTATTCTTAAAAAATATATGTTGCAGCCACATAAATTGTGCCTCAGTTACGTTTCTGGTTACTATTTTATTTACTGTTTTGGTTACATATTGTTACAGTTAGGTTATTTAAAAATGTGAAAAATAAAAGTAAGAATCAGGTGTGTCTTAAGTTTAGACTTTTTATGAATTATGGTTTGATAAGGCTTATTGTTTGTTTAGATACGTTTATGATGCATTACAAACAAATAAACAAGGGTTATTGACATGTATTTAGTTTTTACTTAACATTCATTTATTGGCCAGCACTTAATGACTTCAAGAGAACAAAACCCGATCGTCTGATTCCCATCAGTGATTCCTCTCAGGTCCAGGTTTTCCGCCCACACGTTTGTTTCCAATAATATTGTTGCCTGAAAAAAATATTTCTAATATTACTTTCCGGATTTGCACTCCTTAAATCTATTTCTCTCTTGAGACAGTAAGAATGGTCTATTGCTGCTTAAACAAAACAACATGTGTGTCCAATATTGTTTACCTCTGAATAGATCCTTTTTGTTGTTCTATTTCCATTGTTTTGTTTTTAAATGCAACTTAGCATGGTCAAACCTTTTTTCTCTCTGTATATTTATCGTTTTTTCTTTTTTTTTTTGTAGAACAACATACTCATAACAGTCGATTATTAGATTTCAACCGCAAATGGAGATATTTGGATTTATAAAAAAGCAGAGCTACTTCTTCCATTGCAAATGTTGTTTCTAAGAACCAGTGACGTGGTCAGAATCCAGAAGGTCTTTTTTCAGGGTTTGAGATGTTGTCAAAGACAGGAAGCTTGCCGCTGGCAAGAATTTCATGGGACCTTTTATTTTATGGCAAGCTATCAAGCACCAACCCAGCAAAGGCTTTTTCTAGTCATTATAGGATGACTGTCTAAAACTGTGTAACACTGTTGAATGTGAAAATGAAAATATGCAGTTGTTACCTTAAACCGGTAGATATTTCTACCTAATCTGAGTTTAATAATCAGTTTTGATTAACATATATATTTTAGATAAATAAAACATAAAATGTAATTGTAACCACATGAAGCACTGTAGAATGTATTAATGTTAATGCTTTAAGCAAAATGCTTATAATTAAAATTTGAGAAAAATATGAGAAAATATATCAATGGAAAACCTGATGTATAGTTTGTGTTTCTTGGCTTTCTTTTTTGAACATTTTCCTTCCATTGCACTAGTGCAAATACATCATATGATAGATGTTTTGTCAAAATAAGGCTCCAGGGAATAAAAACATTTTGCGGCTCAGAGGATGATTTTAAAGCTAGTACTTTAAAAGGATACTGTAATGTTTTTGATATGTGTAGTAGTTGCTCCGCTTTGTTGGTAATGATAAACATTGTTATCCACAATACACCCATTTAATAATAACCCATTTAAAATGCTTAAATTCTTTCATAACGCAATGCTTGAATTACCAGTTATTTAAGGAGTGCCTCAGGGATCGGTAATAAGAACTTTTTTTGTTTTAGGATCACTAATAGAGCAAGTTTAGGAGAAATTGTGCAGACTCTTTATTGATCTTGGTTGGAATTAGAATTTGATGTGTACCCAAGAATCATATCCTCATACACCCTGGACGATATTGCGATACAACACATTGCACCATGCAGCTTTGCACAATTAGCACAGAATAGCATCTGAAAGTCATAAACTAGAATGAGTTCTTGGCTAAAATGTGACAACAGATGATGAAAAACAGCCAAGTGTTCAGCATCTCCATGGCAAAGAAATACAACAATGACCTTAAGCAAAAATACTTCAAATATTTGCATTTTCCGTCAGTACTTGAAGGATTTTTTTTAATGACGGTTTTACATAACCGTTTTAAATGTTACATAACTCTTTTGGATATTTATTTAAGACTTCATAGGTGTGCAAAGAAATTGTCTCATTTAAACTTTCATGAACATTAATGACTTCTGAAACCTACATTTTTCTTTTTGTAGCAATCAAGACGAAGATTAAGGAAGTCAAAACAGACAACTTAGACCGAAAAGTCATTCTACAAAAAAGGAGGAAGGCGGTGAAGCTTGGAAATCTGAAAAAGCAGGACCTAAAGAAGCTTGAACTTTACCTGAAAAATGGAGCAGACTGTCCATGCCAACAACTGGAAAACCTAGGGAGCAACTACTTAATCATGGGCCGCAGTGTTGGGAAACAGTATATACTGACAGGCATTCATAAGTGGGACAAATCTAGCAAAGAATTTAAGGCGGCCCTTAAAAAACTTAAAAGCCATAAATGCCCAGCTTTTGAGACAGTGTTCAAGTGATTTTTGATCAGTTGGTTACTGATCTTTGTGAATTTTCCATTATAGCATTATATTACATTTTGCAGTACAGTACAGTATAGAAAAGAACCATAGATGCCACAATCCAACTAGTTAGTTTGTTTGCCCAATAAATGTCTGAATACATACAAACAAGTGCCATTTAGTTCACTTTTTAAAATGTTCTTGAACATTTCTAACCAATCCAAGTACAAAACACAGTTATTTACATTCCAGTATGCTACAAGTCAGTTGAGTGAGTTCTGCTTTTGCAAACACTGCCTTTTGATATATCTTAATGTTTTCATGGTGGAATAATATCTATATCCATGCAATCTGTTAATAATGTTTATGTTTTATAATATCCATCACAGCTATCAGGTGTTCAGTAAAATGCATAAGACATGCACCTTAAACAATAAAGAGATTTTTTGACAGTTTGTTGTTGCATAGGATGCAAATCACAGTTAATCATGCAGTGGAAGGTGTATAGCATGCCTGAGGACTTGCACAATGCACTGTAATCATTTAACATTAAAAGAGAAAATATTTTTAATATATTTGACTGCACTCTTTATTTATTACATTAGTGATTGCTTTAAGGAAAAAAGACAAGTAGCAGTGGTGACCTGCCAAGCAGTCCAGCTATAACAATCACATGCTGTGAAATCACTGTGAAATAATCACTTTGAATCAGATCAGATTAGAGAAATTTCAGACTCTGCATGTGCCCTGTGTAAGCAAACAGCCAGACAAAGTGTTTATGTTGTATAGACAGATCAGAGATGTTTGTTTTGGATTGAGGGAGAGATTTGGACATATTTCTCTCCCAGCTTTCCTGATGAAAGGCGGTTTGAGTTTTCTCTTTCTCTCTCTCTTTTTTTTGAGGAGAGTTGGTAATATATTTTGTGTTTCGAAACCAAAAGATTTTATGATAAATTATAATTTATACTAAATGATCCAAGAGAATAAATAAATAAATTTTGGGGACCAGAATTTTTTCATTTTTAATTTAAGTCCATGTCTACACTGAAAAATGGTGTAGAAACAATTTTTACTTAAAAATTGCTAGTAAATTAACAGCATATTTGCTTTGATACTGTACTTCAAAACATTGAAAACGTTGATATTTAAAATGTACGTATTTCTCTTCAGGAAAAACTGACCAAAAATATTGATGACTCATCCTGTACTACACCGATTATTGTCCAATCAAAAGTCCTTCCAGGTGAGAATGGCCCTAATGACTAGCATGCCTCCAACTAGCAAGTAGCAAATCATGGATAATGGCTGTGATGCAACCACGGTTATTCAAACAAGCTTGTGAAATACATCACCTCAAGAAAAGCAAACTGCAAGGTTTTGGACTGAGGGCATTTTCCTGAGAAAACATCTGTGTTGTAATGCCCGCCAGTAATCACCTTGATACGCTTTAAGTACCCTTATTTGTGGCTGATGAGCTGTGAAGCAGTAAGATCTGTTATCAACTCTCATGCTCCAGCAGGACAGGCCTTCAAATTCCCTGGCTTTGCAGTACTGATGCATACTGCTCCCAAAAAGTATCAAAACGCTCACTTTCATTCATATGATTTAAGTGGAACGAATTTCAGTAAAGCACTGCATATGTTATCAGAGTCATGCAGGAGTCTGAGAGATTTAACGTCAGCACATCAGAACAGTTAAAAGATGTTGAGCAGATAGCTCCGCAAGACTTGCACTGATGCCATAGTGTGTAAATGTGTGTCTCATATTGCCGTTGGCACTTCACCTGTTTACATTCCCAGTGTCATAAAGTGTGCACCAGTGATAGCATCCGATTCAGAAAGTGCGGGTGTTGACAACATGCCTTTACGATGGAATCTGCCATGAAATCATTCTAGCCTGAACACACAGGTGCTGCTTTTAAAGAGCATAACATGGCCATGATTGTGTGTGGAAAAATAAAGTGTGGCCATGTAAGGCTTTGCAAACATTGTATATTTCACAGAGTACAATGATTTCAATCTTAAACTATAAAAACCAATAATTATGATGTAAAATAATTATGAGATAATAGCTTGAAATATGAGATACTGAGTCACAATTATGATTGAAATTCATCTTTTTCTCATAATTTTGACTGTCATAATTTAAAAGTTTGATGTTATAATTTCAACGTTGACATACTTTTTGTGTCATAATTTTGATTGATCTCAAAATATCAAATTTTATGTTTATAATTTATACCTTTCTATCTTCATTTTGACATATGTCATAATTTTGGCTTTTTATATAAAATTTCACCTTTTTAATCTAAAAAAGGATTATTGATTAAACATATGATTAATTATATATATATATATATATATATATATATATATATATATATATAGATCTTATGTGGCAGAAATCGGCTTCCTAAAGTATAAGATATTCTAATATTTATTGTGTTAAAAAATAAATAAACAAAAAAGTAATGTCCAGTCAAGCTGTTTTTGAGAAAAAAATGCAAAGGAACATGCATGTACTTACTATATGGTTAGGGTTAAGATTAGGGTTTGGCTTAGGGTTACTTGCATGTAATTATGCATAATTTATTGTTATTATAACAGTACATGTAACATGTAACAAGGACACCTTAAAATAAAGTGTTACTGTTACCCAAAAATTATTAAAATGTCATTTCCGCCAGCATAATTTGCCTCACAGAATGCTTCTAACACAATACATCATTTGAAATGTGGTGGAAAGTTTCATGACATTCAGAACCCCCCAAATTCACCTGTGACATATGTATATACACTGTGAATATTGTTAATAGGCAAATTCATACCTACAAAAATAACAAACATATGAGCATTTAAACCCTCTGGAATGCTGAGTCCCATAGATTTCTAAGCACATTTTTGTGTGTTTTTACAAACTGAGGGACGAGTTGAAATTGTCTGTGCTAATCGCCTACATGCCACAGATGTTGTCCATAGAGCTTAACTTGTACTGAACCCAGAGCATTCCTTTAAAACTGTTTAGTTACTTTTGAAGACCCCCCAACCTTTTGTTTTGATGTCCTTTTGGGGTGATTCAAGCCGAAATTAAACCATCTGCAGTGAACACGTTTCGAAAGAAATCCATACATGGCAAATTGCAAAAACCCTGAGTGCGTGTAACCCCCAGGAGAAGCCGACCGATCCCAGCTCGTGCAAAAGCCTAGTGATGGTTTATCCAGGTTAAGCAAATAGCTGTGTTTTGTGCTCTGGGATGACACTGGCTGCCAGACTTTATGGGATGATCATTAGAAGCAGCTGTTGGCTTTGCTGCTGCATATTTCCCAGCTTCATTGAATGAAAAAGACTAGCTTTTTTGTCTCCAGCCTTGAGGGGAAGAAAGCCTATTAAAAGCCATAAATAATATGATGCTCTCACAGGATAGCATCTGAGGTAAGATGGGCTCTGTGGTAAACATACTTCCACATGGGGTTTGGACTGAAGTTCTCACACATGCCAACTGCGAATCCCGCCAGATGGGATGCGCAGACTATGAATATGGTGCCATCACTGTTCCCAATTCGATTTTGTCCGCCAGTCTTATTAGGATTGAATTTTACGTGTTTATTTTAAGCTAGCATATTAGCAAGAAATTATCCCAACTGAGGACGGTTTGCGCAATCCTTCTGATCTAGATAATGGCTAAATAAATCTGACTCAGTTTGTTCAACATCTCACAGCTTTATCAAACAAATGTCCTTCTGGACTCTTGTGGGTGGGAGTGAAGGAATGCTGTCTGGTAAAGTACTTCTCGAAACTTTGGGTCCAAGAAATGTCCTTTGTAATCGAAGTGAATGACACAGGAATGGTTTATTTGGACATATGCAAGAACATGATGTATCAATATCTGGTAGCTTAAAGGGGTAGTTCACCCTAAAAAATAAAAATTCTGTTATTAATTACTCAACCCTCAAGTTGTTCTGAACCCGGATGACGTACATACTCTCTTCTGGGAAAAACAAAAGGAGAAGTCCAGCAGAATGAGTGTTTTTTTCCATAAAGTGAAAGTGACCGCTATCAAGCTTCAAAAATGACTAAAGCACCCTCAAAGTGGTCCATGATGTGACTCTACTATAGCTTGCCAAAGTATTCTGAAGTTATACAACATCTCTGTGTGACGAACAACCAAAATTTTAACTGAAACATATGTCTCAAAATCTCATTTGCATTTATGCATATTCAAATATGGCTTAATTTTTTTCCAAATAAATGTAGATTTTATTTTGTTCCTCAAACAAAGCTAGTATATGACTTATGAAATATAAAGAATTGACTCATGAATGAGAGAATATGATGTTTTTGGCATCATATGGATAAAAACAATCCATTTTTGATGTGAAAAACTGTAAAAATGCAATGGTAAACTTTTTATTGTTAATTGGTTAATGGTAAGTTCATTTTCTATATACTGTAAAAAACCTGTAATAGATCTAATTGAGCTTTTCATGTAATTTTACAGTTAAATGCTCAGTTTGAAGTGGAAGTGAAAAAAGAACAAGTCAAGTCATATTATAATTTACAGCATAAAAAAACATAAATTGATGTGAAATTGGTGGTTTTGCATCGAAATAATGGCTTCTTCTCAGTTTTGTCCATGGGGTTTTGTTACATCTTGACACTCTATGGAGAGAAACACACGAAGATGAAGATTAATGCAAATAGTCCACACAAGGGTAAATCCAGGACAGAACAGGCAGGAGCACACGTAAGGACATAGTAGACCGGAGAACAAACAGAGAACAGAACACAACTAATATAGGAGGGCTGATGAGGGTAATTAAATGACACACACCTGAAACCAATGACAATAATCAGACGGAGACAGAAACTAGGTCAAACAGAGCACGAGGGAGAAAGCACAACAAAACAAGTCCATGAGGTATGACAGTTCGCCCCTCTCCCGGAAGGTGCGACCTCGCGCCGCAGAGACTAAAGGGCCTTTCGCACCGCAGGAACCTTTTCATAGTACCAGAACTAATTGTGGAACTACCCACTTTTCGGCGTGTTCGCACCGCCGGAACTGGGAGCGATTTTAGTATCGGACTGCCTTTTTCGAGAACCAAATTAGCTCCTACTCCGGAGCAGGGTCTAACCAGCACAACTGGTACTAATCGTGTTAGTCGCTGTCGACCGGCTTACGTCACTTCTTAGTACACATTGTCGGTGCGAATGCAACCCTTTAAATGGTACTGGGAAATAGTTCGCGCAAAATCGTCCCAGTACTTTAGTACCGTACATTTAGTTCTGGAACTAAAGTGGTGCGAAAGGGCCTAAAAGGGAGGGTCGGAGGGGGACTTAGGAGGAGGACAAAGGAGTGGATGTGGGATGGTGACAGGGGATGGCAAAGGGCTGGCAGGAAGGCAGGCAGGAGGAGACAGGAGGGTGTGCTGAGGGGCTGCCCTGAGACAGCGGAGGCAATGGTGAGGGCTGATACAGAGGAGGTGGGAGAGGGAGGCTGGGCGGGAGTTCAGAATGTTCAGGGGGTGTAGGAACGGTGTGTGCTGCCCACACACCACAAGGCCACTCCCAGCACCGGGAGCGCCAGCGATAGGGGAATGACCTCTGTGGTCATTTCAGGGCAGGCAGACAGTTCAGGGCAGACAGATAATTCAGGGGCAGGCAGATAGTTCAGATAATGATGGGAGGAGAATGGGCACAACCTCAGTGGTCGTGACGGGACAGACAGGTAATTCACGACAGGCTGACAGCACAGGACAGACAGATAATTCAGGGCAGACAGATAATTCAGACGAAGGCAGGAGAAAAGGGGGCATGTCTGCATAAATATCCAAATCATATTCCACTGAGCTCGGCTCACCTTCAGCCATGGTGCAGTGGGTGGAGCTTCCCTCCACGCTTTTGCTGTCCATGACACTCTCCCCGTGGCGAGCTCTGTAGCCGGCTCTCACACCTGGTCTGATGTGTTGGGCTCTAGATCCGGGGCGATCCTCAGTACTGTCACTCTCTTTGGCAATGGCTCGTCGGTCGCAGTGGGGTGATGGTGGGCTGGGCTTTGGGACCTGTTGCGTTCCGGATCGGGGTAGGTCCACAGGGCGATGGTAATTCACTCCGATCTGGAACAGGGACTTCATGGTCTCGTCGTCGTATGGGGAAGTGATGGCAAGACGGGCGAATCTGAGGGCAAATGAAATTAGATTGTGGCTCTCCTGAGCCACAACAGAGAATTTCGCCATCCAATCCATAAGTGGATCAACCGTAATTTTACGAAGCTACGAGAATACTTTTTGTGCACAAAGAAAACAAAAATAACGACTTTATTTTAACAATTTGTCTCCTCCGCATCACCCTATAGCATAATTTTGGAGAGTATCACATACGTAAACAACGTATCCGCATACATACCTTGCATACATTGTTTACGTATGTGATACTCTCCAAAATGGTGCTATAGGGTGACGCGGAGGAGACTAATTGTTGAATAAAGTCGTTATTTTTGTTTTCTTTGCACATAAAAAGTATTCTGGTAGCTTTGTAAAATTATGGTTTAACCACTGATGTCACATTGATTATTTTAATGATCTCCTTGCTACGTTTCTGAGCCTTGATCGTGTTAGGATCCTTGCTGTCTATGAGAGGGTCAAAGAGCTCTCAGAATGCATGAAAAATATCTTAATTTGTGTTCTGAAGATGAATGAAGGTCTTACAGGTTTGGAACGACATGAGAGTGAGTGATTAATGACAGAATTTTCATTTTTGGGTGAACTATTCCTTTAAATCTGGACAGCATGCAATTCAGTTTAAACATAACCAGGGCAGATAATAACCGGCTTGGGTGTCGTGGATCATGGATTTGGCAGGGACGGGATTTGTAGACACACACTGGACTTGATTTGCTCTTGCAAAGTCTTGAGATACAGACCTGACCCCTACTGTGAGGTGAGAGCAGATTTTGGCAGGAGGGTTGGATTTCATAAATCAGCTGATGGCCTACCTCTGGGATATAAACACATATTTTTCATATATGACATTGACAAATCGAAAATGGGGTAAAGCTGTGGAATTGTATTACATTTAGCCACTAACAAGAGAAGTAAATATTTTCAGCTGAATAATCTACTTCATCTAATATTGTATTATTATTTTTTATTTTTTTTGTATTATTACATTTGGTTTGGAGACTCTGTTTGAGAAAAAAACTTTCTTCCCGGAATTTTTTCTCTCTCAATCTACCCATACTACAGTTTTGGCAATACAAACTCCCTGATGATTGAGAGAAAAAAATCCACTCCTCTTTCACCATGAGAAAAATATGTAAAATAAAAACTGTTTGCCCAAATTTATGACTGCTCTGTTTTTTTCCCTGTAATTTTATAAGCCGATATATTGGCTCAAGGGACAGTCAGTCTCTTATTTCTGTAATCAGGGCCTGACCTTTATACTGAAACAGTCAGTCACTGTGATGCCTGTAGAAAGCGTTATAAACATATCAATGTCCCAAATGCATCATAAGACATATGTCAGTGACATGTTTATATATCCAATGAGAGGTATAAGTAAAGCAAACAATTGATTTATGAAATACTCCACAGCATCCATGCAATTACACCAAATGCCCAATAGAGAGCAGCACCTGCTTTACCTGCTGGTCATTCCTGTTATGCAGTACCTGTTGATTTACGTTACTTTACAAAATTATGTATTTTTAATGAAAGGATATTTTAGAATTTTGGAAATATGCTCTGGTCAGGCTTATACACTTTAACTTTATTATTTATGAAATCTGAATATTGTAACCTAAACAGCATGAAAATTAAGAGGTCAAATTTACCTATCTTTTGAAAAGTGAGTTTAATCCAATATATATGCCATGGCGACTTAAAGATGCACTGAATAGTAGGCTATTTGACACTCCCAATCGGTTAATAGTCAAGAGCTTTGGCCTACAACACAAATGAAGAAAACATGGGCTGCATTCCGAAAGCTCTAAAATGCAGCATTGAAAGGCAGGAAGGCATCAAGGCATGTCCGAATCCAAATTCTGCTTCATTTCATGTCTTCCGGAGGTACCTTCCTCTGATCGAATTTTGAAAGGCAGCATAGATGTATCCTTCGCTTCCTTAGATATCCCACAATCCTGTGCGTTCTATTCCGTGATTGTTGAGCTAAAAAATAAAGATGGCGTCTGAAAGTTACGTTTGATGGTCAGTTTGTATATTTCTGACTAACTTTTTGCACTTTTGATGTTATTTATAGCGAGAAATCAGTATTACAGTAATTAAATATTCATTTAGTTATCACCAAAACTCGTTCTATTTTGTTGTAGATCATTAAACCGTTACGCTGCCTCAGAAGCCTGTCTGAAATTAGTTTCATGAGGTACCTTCCTGCAAAAACGGTGCCTGAAAAGTCATTGCCTGATAAGGCAGCAAGTCAGCTTCCTATCTTTTGGATGCAGCCATCTATTTAATGAATCATCACTTAACTAAAAACAGATTTTCTTAATAATTTGTAAATTCGCGGTTCTGGATTTTATACTGACACCTGTTGGCCTGGATGAATGAAGTTTGTTTGCTATCTACTGTCACCTCACAAAGAAGTTGCTATTTGTTGTTGTTAGTTTGTCCTTCATTTGACTAGACAAACACATGCGTGTAATGAATATTCCTGGATTCAATGTAAAAATAGTTTTGTGTTCTATTTGTGACACCTTCAGCTACTCGCAGTGTTGTGAAATGTCCACACTTTCTTGCGTTCAGAAGCTGCGCGCAACGGATTGTAACAGCATACTGGAGTCTCGAGACGGTTTATTTAAAATAATTTGAATGGACGCAAAACAAGAAAAAAAAAGTTTTTCTATAAAAGTTCTAAGAACATTTCGTATCGCATACGTTTGGTAGACATCACCAAAGTGAGAAACAAGCCAACACTGACCTCAAGAAAGAGGCTGCCGTTCCCAATCAAACAAAAATAAATTGAATTGATTTTTTTTAATCACTCATGTGTTTTCAAATACTTCAACAGCTCACAGATTAGTTAGATGACAATTAATTTTCTTTAAATGAATTATTTCTTGACTTGCACGTTGCCAATGTGTGGCGGTAGCAGCCAATGAGCGCGGGGCGGGGCGGGGCGGAGAGCAGCCTCTGAACATGGAGCTCACTGAGGAACTGATGCAGACACACAGCACGCTCAGCATCACTTACACACACTCTATGGACTGTGCGATCAACAATCATCTGCCTGTTTGTCCCGACCACCTGCACCAGGGATACAGTTTGAAATTACAAGTAAGCTTTTGTTTTCACTTTTACGCGAATGTCCAGCGTTTCTTATTCTTCATAATGCATGAACTTATTAAACAGTAGAAGAGCAACTTCGTTTCTTTCTTTTTGACTTTTTGAGTTTATTATTGTACTACTATTATTATTCTGTGAAACTGTTAAATTTCCTTTTTTTGTGTGCTCATGTAAATCCCATCTCAGTACCCTTATAAAAGCGGAGCATTTGTGACTTTCATTTAAACACCTTAAAGGGATAGTTCACTCAAAAAAAAGAAAGAAAATTCTGTTATAATTTACCCACCATAAAGCTGTTCCTAAACTGTACGAGTTTCCTTCGTTCTGTTGAAAAAAGAAGATATAATTCGAAGAATGTGGGTAACCAAACAGCTGCTGGTCCCCATTGAATTACATAGAATGGAAAAAAAATATTCAAAATGCTATTTCAACAAGTCAGTGAGGACCAGAATCTCTTTAGTTACCCACATTCTTCAAAGTATCTTCTTTTGTGTTCAGCAGCAGCAGAAGAAAAAAAGATTTTGAACAAACTTTACAGTGAGTAAATTATGACAGAATTTACATTTTCAGTCAAGATATTAATGATTGATCTTAATCTGATGAGCATTAAAGGTCCCCTGAAATGCTTAGAAACACGCAGCGTTACTCTATGTGTTGAGGTCATTTTAACTGAAACAGGAAGACAGGGCGGGACATATCAAGCAGCCCTGCCCCTTTTTAAAATAGCCAATAGCGTTCGTAGTCTTTTTGACTTTTTGAGTTTATTATTGTACTACTATTATTATTCTGTGAAACTGTTAAATTTCCTTTTTTTGTGTGCTCATGTAAATCCCATCTCGGTACCCTTATAAAAGCGGAGCATTTGTGACTTTCATTTAAACACCTTAAAGGGATAGTTCACTCAAAAAAAAGAAAGAAAATTCTGTTATAATTTACCCACCATAAAGCTGTTCCTAAACTGTACGAGTTTCCTTCGTTCTGTTGAAAAAATAAGATATAATTCGAAGAATGTGGGTAACCAAACAGCTGCTGGTCCCCATTGAATTACATAGAATGGAAAAAAAGTATTCAAAATGCTATTTCAATAAGTCAGTGAGGACCAGAATCTCTTTAGTTACCCACATTCTTCAAAGTATCTTCTTTTGTGTTCAGCAGCAGCAGAAGAAAAAAAGATTTTGAACAAACTTTACAGTGAGTAAATTATGACAGAATTTACATTTTCAGTCAAGATATTAATGATTGATCTTAATCTGATGAGCATTAAAGGTCCCCTGAAATGCTTAGAAACACGCAGCGTTACTCTATGTGTTGAGGTCATTTTAACTGAAACAGGAAGACAGGGCGGGACATATCAAGCAGCCCTGCCCCTTTTTAAAATAGCCAATAGCGTTCGTTTATATCACAGCTTGGGCTAGAGCCCTTGAGCTCTGTAAAGCCGCATCTGACAGGGTATGCCAGCCACAATCTCATCCATATTGCCACTGTGTAGAATTCAAATATCGTGTCTATCGTGTCTCTGGACCGGAGCAGAGTATGTGTGCGCTGCGGTGGTTAGCGTGACACAGCGCGAAACCAGACTTCTTGCTTTCTTAAATGGAAAGCATATTTACACTGTTTGTGTCTATCGTGTCTCTGGACCGGAGCAGAGTATGTGTGCGCTGCTGTGGTTAGCGTGACACAGCGCGAAACCAGACTTCTTGCTTTCTTAAATGGAAAGCATATTTACACTGTTTGAATCATTCCCTGTCCCCTATATAGTGCACTAGGTGCCATTCACTGTACAGAAAATACTAATTCTGTGGACAAGTGACCGATTTCATGTGTAGGGGGCGGGCGCTTCGGTTTCTAGAGAGCATTTGATTGGACAGAAAACGTTTGAATTTTGATTTCATGGGGACTTTAAGTGTAAAACTGTTATATTAAACAAATATGGATACATAAAGATTTTGGGTATACATTATCATATTGCAGAGTGACTCATACATATTTAAGTTGATATTTCTAAGACTTTGGCATGATCACAAATTCTGAACAGCAGAGGAATGTTTGTATCCTGTTGAGACTTCTAGAAACTAGAATATTGGTTTATTCTGGTTATGAAAACCAGGTGTTTATGGCACATCCATAATCAGAATATGTAAAAATACAATGTTTGATTAATATTCGAATATTCTTGTGCTTATGAGTTCAGTCATTGTCTTCAACGATTGTGTTATAGGTGCTGGTAACTTTGTAGGCACACCAGCTGCAGCTTTCTCCTCATCTCAGAAACGGTGGGTTTTGTAGGAATGAAAAGAAAGCACCTGCTCTCCTGTGCCTCCTTTCACTGATTTATCTTTTCTCCTCACTTCATTCTCCATTATAACATTCATTGAAATAATGGAAATCGCATTTTTTTCTAACTTAGGGGAAATCAGTATGTGGTTCTGGGGCTTACGCGAGGCAAGCAATCACTTTTCCACACATGAAAGAAGAGTGTTATGCTCATCTGATCAGGCCTTTGTTAGCCACAGCTTGTATTGACGTGGTTAACTTTGACAGGAGAGATTCTGATAAGATCCATCTCTTCAGAAAACCATTTCTGCTCAATTCTTTCCTTCCTTTTTTCCTCTCTGGTCTTTTTATTAGAGTTATTTCAGGGTAATTTGTAAGAGATCTTTCATGTTGGATTTCAGATAGTTGGATTTCTAAACTGTCTTTAGAGTTACAAGTGACATCTGATAGAAATCATAAGTATTGCGCAAGTCATTCACAGTCTCATATACAGTCCACCCATAATTCAGTTATTTACTTTTGAGGCTGTATACAAATCTTTACCACAAAAGTTCAATGTATAAGTGAGAATGCATTTGTTTGATTTTGAGAGAGGATAGATGGCTTTTTTGGAAGTAATGATTTTGGACTATTGGGTGTAAAGAATGCTGCAGGGTGTTATTTAGATTTTGGGGGCATCAGAGGGTCACAGACATTCTGAAACATCATTTCTGCCTGCAAACAACTTGTCTGGAATAGTTATGGGATATATAGATGGTTTGAATGTATATAGGGAGAGAAGAAAGGCTTTGAAAACAACCTTAATTTTATTTATATAAAACTCTTTTATCATTATTCAAATTTCAGTTGGCAATGCCCTTGAATCACAAATGAGCCCTAAGCAGTTGTTTCCTCCGAAGTAGAATCTAGAGCACAATAATATCTCCCATGATAATCTCAAAATGGTTGCGAATGACTATAAAGCTTCATCAAAACACGCAAAAACAGGACAATTGGAGATTATACTTTTTTTTTAAAGAAAACATGCTGATTTTAAAGTAGCCCATTTTGTAGACTATTTAACAGCTTCATCGTGTGTTCATACTTTTCTATTTTTTATTGTAGGTTACTTTCTGACGTGATTAAGCTTAGTGAATTAATGAGTTCATCCCAAAAAAGGAAAATGTGATCATTTACTCACCCTCCAAACCCAAATGTCTTTCTTTCATCTACTGAACACAAAAGAAAATGTCTGAAAAATGTCCATACGATGAAAGTCAATAGGGTCCAGCATTATGCTGTTTTTGATCTCACTGACTGTAATTTTATATACAAAACCTGTAGCAACATTCTTCTAAATCTTTTGTGTGTGTGTTTATGTGTGTGTTTGACAGAAGGAAGTCATACAACTGTGGAATGACATGTAAATGATGTATGAATTTGAATTTTAAAAAATGAAAATAAGTTGAAAATGTACTCACCTTTAGGCCATCCGAGTTGTTTTGTCATTGGAACAGATTTGGAGAAATTCAGCATTACATCACTTGCTCACCAATGGATCCTCTGCAGTGAATGGGTGCCTTCAGAATGGGAGTCCAAATAGCTGATAAAAACATATTAACCCACAAGTAGTCCAAATGTCCATCAATTAACGTCTTTTGAACCAATAAGCTGTGTGTTTGTAAAAAAAAATCCATCATTAAGATGTTTTGAACTTTTTTAACTTAAGCTAAAATATGAGTCCTCTATTCATAAGAGAAATATCCACATATCATAAAGTTAAAATGCCCTAATAATGGATTTTTTTCTTACAAGCGTGCAGACAATTGGAGATTATACTTTTTTTTTAAAGAAAACATGCTGATTTTAAAGTAGCCCATTTTGTAGACTATTTAACAGCTTCATCGTGTGTTCATACTTTTCTATTTTTTATTGTAAGTTACTTTCTGACGTGATTAAGCTTAGTGAATTAATGAGTTCATCCCAAAAAAGGAAAATGTGATCATTTACTCACCCTCCAAACCCAAATGTCTTTCTTTCATCTACTGAACACAAAAGAAAATGTCTGAAAAATGTCCATACGATGAAAGTCAATAGGGTCCAGCATTATGCTGTTGTTGATCTCACTGACTGTAATTTTATATACAAAACCTGTAGCAACATTCTTCTAAATCTTTTGTGTGTGTGTTTATGTGTGTGTTTGACAGAAGGAAGTCATACAACTGTGGAATGACATGTAAATGATGTATGAATTTGAATTTTAAAAAATGAAAATAAGTTGAAAATGTACTCACCTTTAGGCCATCCGAGTTGTTTTGTCATTGGAACAGATTTGGAGAAATTCAGCATTACATCACTTGCTCACCAATGGATCCTCTGCAGTGAATGGGTGCCTTCAGAATGGGAGTCCAAATAGCTGATAAAAACATATTAACCCACAAGTAGTCCAAATGTCCATCAATTAACGTCTTTTGAACCAATAAGCTGTGTGTTTGTAAAAAAAAATCCATCATTAAGATGTTTTGAACTTTTTTAACTTAAGCTAAAATATGAGTCCTCTATTCATAAGAGAAATATCCACATATCATAAAGTTAAAATGCCCTAATAATGGATTTTTTTCTTACAAGCGTGCAGCTTTTCACTTCACAAGATGTAAATTGATAGACTGGAGTGGTGTGGATTACTGTGATGTTTTTATCAGCTGTTTGGCCTCTCATTCTGACGGCACCCATTCACTGCAGAGGACCCATTGGTGAGACAGTGATGTAATGCTACGCTACATTTCTCCAAATCTGTGTTGATGAAAAAACAAATCATCTACATACAGTATTCGATGTCAGAAAAGTAAGTAAAATATCAGCATATTTTCATTTTTGGTGAACTATTCCTTTAACTATCCCTGTCAGGTGCCAGGAGCTTTCCAAATGAGCATATGTCCCAAATGGATGACCTCAGCTCGTTCTGTCATTAGAAATCCCTCATCATGACCTACAATCTTTTCGCAGTGTCTAGATTATTAAAGGTCAGTATAAGGTTAACGTCAGATGGTCCCAGATCAGCATTAAAAAGTATGCACTGCTTTCTCCTCCAGGCACAGCAGCAATTTGGTGCCTCTTTTGACACGGAGCGGTGCCAGATTTATCTCCCTTCTTGTCTGTCTCATTATACCCCCTCCTCTCCAACATCCCTCTCCTTTTGCCAAATCCAAATGTCACAGATTTCATCAGTTTGCACAAAGAATGTCACTGTATGATAAACTCAAAATGTCACAGCGATGAAATTTTACATGATTGATGTTGGCGAGATTATGACTTTACAAATACACCGAAAATGGTTTGATTAGCCAATCAAGCTGTGTTTGGATTATTTTCTCAACTGTTATACTATTGAGAAGTTTGTAATAATGTGTATGACATTTGAGACGGTCTCGCTAGACCTTAGAACTCTTCTAGTTTGAGGCATTGCTACTGAATGTGTGACCAATCATGTTACGTGCTTAAAAATGAGTAATTGTCATAATATTCGTCTTCAGATGAAATCTACAGAAGTGGATCCGGGGTTATTCACGGACAGCTACTGCAAAGTGTGCAGCGCTCAGCTTATCTCTGAGTCACAGAGAGTCGCTCACTATGAGGTGAGTAACTCGTGCACACACACGTTCACATAAAGCATAAACATTTACTGATAGCCGTTAATTTGATCTGCTGTCAATAATGTTCTACGGTCTGCTGCGCACTTTCTTAAATGAGGGGAGATAAGTAGGTTCATTAGGTTTTTGCTGCTAATAATTATATGCAATTTAAAAAGGGGGATGAATTTCACCCACCATCAATCACGGTATGTAAATAATTTTTTTTCTGATGATATCATGATAGATATGCCCATAGGAAAGAAAAAACATCAGGGAGATCAGAAGTAAATCAGAAAATAAAATTAAATGAGAATAATACCCGAGTTATTTCTTCCAGACAAAAATAAGATTAAATGGACACCAAATGCATACACCAATAAGAGTTTGGTCCATGTCTTCTGTCTGATTTTTCTCTTGAGAAATCTCTGACTCTGGTCATCTCAATATCTCAATCAAAAGGCTGAGATTTCAATAAGAACTCAAACATTTATTATAATTCTTCCATGAGTGTCCACATTTATATCTCTGTACTGTTACTGTATATCAACAGCTGTCTCACTTGTCTATTTTTTTTATTAGTACAAAGTAGTTTTAAGAGAAATATCTAAGAAAGAGAAATCTCTGAAAAATAATCTTTCCCATTCTGGTGTGTGTATGATTTAGCATTTGGATAAAAGAACCTTCGTTCATCTTAGGAACACAAATTCATTTTTTTTTATGAAATCTGAGAGCTTTCTGACCCTGCATAGACAGCAACTACATTCAAGGCCCAGAAATGTAGAAAAGAGGAAGAGAAGAATTGTTGAATAAAGTTTTTGTTTTTTTCGCACAAAAATATTCTCATAGCTTCATAAAATTAAGGTTGAACCACTGATGTCATGGACTTTGGACTATTTTAACGATGTCCTTACTATCTTTCTGGGCTTGAATGTGTCGCATTGCTGTCTATTGCTGTCTATGCAGGGTCAGAAAGCTCTCGGATTTCATCAAAATATCTTAATTTGTGTTTCGATGAACGAAGGTCTTACAGGTTTGGAACAACATGAGGGTGAGTAATTAATGACAGAATTTTTGGGGGGAATTATCCCTTTAAAAATGTGGGGTCTTAAACACGGTTGTTTTGAGATAATACAATTAAAAATAAGTGCATTCTACATATTTTCAAATGCAGTTGATTCCTGTGATACAAAGCTGAATTTTCAGCAAATACATTTTTGGTAACATTATAAATGTCTTTACTATCAGTTTTGTTCAATTTAATGCATCCTTGCTGAATAAAATTATTAATTTCTTTCAAAAAATCTTACTGACCTCAACTTCTTCAACAGTAGTATGTACTCCCTGAGCAATAAGTATGTGGTCTTTATATATTTGCTTGGTTATATCTATAGCGCATTTATATTTGTTCTAAAACAACATTGCCTTGGGAGCCCAAATAAACCCACTTGAACCATCACAGATGCAAGTCACATGACTTTCAACTACACTTACACTAACAGAGCATGAGGGGGTACACAAATTACCCTCTTTGTGTAAGCATTTTATTACATTTAAAAAAAAGTAATTGCTTTTGTTTATTTGTATCAGTTAACGGTTCGCCGATGCATAAACCCCAGTGGGATACGCCATTATCTAGATGCATATGGATCACTAGCAGCGCATTGTTTGCGTTCTGTCTTTTTAAAACTCTCCCGATTTTTTGCAGCAGCTTGCTATAGGAGCCACATTATTCCTGGCAATTTCAGAGCTGTTTGCGAAGGCAGGATCCAAGTCAGATAATTACATAGCATTTGTTTTGTCAGGCCAAGTTCAAAATCTCAGCAAGTCAACGGTTCTCAGAAACCAGCTGTTCTTCATTTGCTCCTTTCAGCATACACTATTTCACCAAACAACCTGAGGAATTAGATGTGCTGGTCTTTATATTGCACACCAATCATCCAGGCCTCCAGACCAACTGGGGCTCATGATATCAGATATGATATGGCTGTTTGTCCAAAAGAGCGACTTTTTGGCTTGAGTAGCCCAGTGGTTTTTGCATGCTTGGTATTTGTGTTTGCGGTTCTGTCTGATGCATCGACTGAGACAGTGGTTGATGACAGCTTCTTGCATCATAAGTCATTACCTCAGCCACGAATGGAGATGTCTTAATTATTGCCTCTTTATTGCCTCTTGCTGTCAGTCTCCTGAGGGAACGGAGCCATGTGGTCGACACTTGCGCTGGCTGAGAACCAGCTGTTAGTTTGTTAACCCAATCTAGAGTCTGGTCTCGTCGGCAATATCATGTCTCTCATGTTTAAATGATGAGGCTTTCAACATGAGAAGTTCAGATTTTATCTGACCTTCTTGTTGCTTGGTATGATCATGCAGGATAGCTGTTGATACACATGGACTGGCTGCGTTCTTGACGGTGTTTCCAAATCAGGATCATATTTAGAGATTGTTAGCGAAGTAGGTCAATGTCGGGTTAAATATATTTCTCCAAACAAAGAGTGTGGGATTATCATCGGCATGATTAACAGGAGGTGAAAACAGTGATGCTTTTTTTCCCATTTATTTTCTCTAAACGCATATAAGCCTCGAACCAAACCAGCCAACTTTACGATGAATAATTTAAACATCTGAATCAAAGTGTTTATATCAAATGTTTATATTAAAGTATATTGTCAGCTGGTTGCTGCTATAATGAGGATGGTAGAAGTTTACTGGAGAGACAGCGATGAGGCTGTGTGGTCATGCATTTAATGAGACCGATCCATGTGCCACCACCCCGTTGAGGAGATTCAAGCTTACTAGAACGAACAAAGCCAAAGCCAGCTCTAGACGCTGTACTTATTACACCAGAACAGACAGTTAGGATCAATGCCAAATATTTATCAGAACCGCCTAACTAGGATGTTGTGGCGTCACTGGGTAAATGCATTCAGAAAACTCAGTTTGATCTATTGAGGGTCAGATACCTTAAAGGGGTCCTATTATGCTCTTTTACAAAGTCTTGATTTTGTTTTGGGGGTGTACTAGAACAGGCTCTCATACTAGGTTGTTCGAAAAACACATTATTTTTCAAGTATTTTACATTATTACAACACCTCTTTCCCCAGTCTGTCATGAACGGCTCGAATAGTTCCTGTATCAAATGAAGGCCCGCCTTCTGAAATAGGAAATGTGTTGTGATTGGTTAGCGGGGCCAGTGTGTGTTGTGATTGGCAGCACTCGGCGCCTGGTCGGGAAATGTCATGCCCCTTACCATAGCTGCCTGCTGCGAGCTTCAGTGTAAATATTGCGTCAAAATCAAATCCATTTGAGCGTGATTTAAACCCGGATGATTGTAACCACTCTAAGTTCGTCTGTCTTGGGAAAGCTAGCGTGTCTCCGACACAGTGATAACACTCGTTGCCTTCTCTAGTGCAGCTCAACCAGGTCTCGTCCCATTCGTCGATATTTGTGATATCACAAATCCCGGAAAATACGCGTTGTAGTCCAAACGAGTATTTCATTGTAGTTTTTGAAAACTGATTTCTGTTAAATAAAATATCTCCTTTTGAAGTGGACTTTGAGCTTTGTAACTTTGCAGATCTTTTTTATGCTCAAACAGCAACATTACAGACTAACTAAAGTTGAAAAAGTGAAAAAGCATAATAGGACCCCTTTAAAGTAGAGGCCTGATATTGTGTCAGTGGGTTGAAATGATCAGATCAACAAGAGAGGAAATGCCTCATGGCTGACTGAACACGACTTGATGTTATCAAGAGTGTCCCGGGTCAATTAGCACCTCGCTGCTCTATTTCCAAGCTCCTCACAGAGGTAAAAATGTACTCTAGTGAATGAGAACTCAGGTGCAAGTGGAATATCAATGCTTCAGATAGGCCTGACACAAGGTCTGCTTGACTAAATACATACAGCTTTAGTAATAGTGTTTGTAAAATTATTGAAACAGTTACTCTCAGCTGTAAAAGGAGCAGTGCAGCCTATATAATCATCATTTACTCCCCCATGTCGTCTCAAACCTGACATTCTTCAAGCTGAACATTCACGCTACTGTTTTCCATACAATGAAAATGAATATGAGCTAAAACAGCACCATAAAAGTATGCAATGGCTTGAAGAAATGAACTATGTATGCCCATGAATAACTGCAAATGACATTTTAAAATTACTTAAAATAAGAGAAATTATAGTAAAATAGAAAATGTTCTACTAAAAGTCATTAATTGAAAGTGTAAAAATACCATATATGTTTTAGTACTCAAACATATACAGTTATAAACTAAAATGAAAAGAAAATATTTAGTTGAATGTTCATGCTGCTGTTTTCCATACAGTGGAAATGAATATGAGTAAAAAAAAGTCAAGATAAAATAATTCATACTAAAGGTTTGGAGGGAAAAGGACTTACTTTCTTTCTTTAAATGTGTTAAATAATAAATAAATAAATTATATATACATATATATACATATATATATATATATATATA